CTCAATCAATAGAATACAAAACATATTACGGGGTTAAGTGGGTGGGTAAGGTGTCACTGGGCAGATCATTGGTTAATAATCTAGTTTGGTATCAATGGGTGTATTAGAAACATTGTACTATAGATTGTTGAGTACCTATGGGCAGGGTTTGAATAAAGGATTCCCAAGCCTCAAAGAAATTTTGGACCTGTGAGTGCTTCCTTAACCACTTACCCTCCAGAGGACTTAGCCCCCTTCCTGACCAGGCCATTTTTTGCGATACGGCACTGCGTTACTTTAACTGACAACTGCGCTACTTTAACTGACAACTGCGCGGTCATACAACGCTGCACCCAAATTAAATGCATGTCCTTTCCCACAAATAGAGCTTCCTTTTGGTGGTATTTGATCACCTCCGTGTTTTTATTTTTTGCACTAAAAACAAAAAAAGACTGACAATTTTGAAAAAAAAAATGTTTTACTTTTTGCTATAAAACATATTCAGTAGAAAAATTAAAAAATAAAATTGTGATAAATTTAGGCCAAAATGTATTCTGCTATATGTCTTTGCTACAAAAAATCCCAATACATTTAAATTATTTGGTTTACGTGAAAGTTATAGCGTCTACAAATGGGTGGTATACATATACACACTGGAATTTTTTTTTTTTTTATACTAGAAATGGCGTTGATCAGCGACTTATAGTGGGATTGCGGCGGGCATTCTGACACGGGGGGGAACTAACAGCCACTGACATCCCCAGTGACATTAATACAGTGAGCAGTGCTAATGACACTGGGCAGGAAAGGGTTAACATCTGGGGTGATCAAAGGGTTAACTGTGTGCGTTTTACTATGTTGCAGAGAAGTATACAGCAGCATGCTATTGCTGGCAGGAGAGAGACCTGTGTTGTTTACACACAGGTCTCTCCCCTGTCACTGTTCCTCAGCAATCCTCAGGTGCCGGCTGTGTATCTCCGGCCGGGACCTGGTGATCGACATCTGTAGCCACCAATAGTGGCGCACACATGTGCACTCCCTGCCCAGGAATGCAAAGTCATGAAAATATATGTGATTTTGCACAGCCCTGCCACGTTGTAGCAGTAGTACCCTATAGGATGGTCGGGAAGTGGTTAATGAGGTCTCCACCTAATCCATGCGGAAAACATAAGATAATTTAGCTATGAACAGAGAAGTGTGTGTGTGTGTGCGTATATAATAAAGTGCAGCGCTGAATAGTTAATATGATCACGATGAGATTTCAATCAAGGTAAGTCTAAACATATGATGTAGTAACATCCAAATGAGACAGAGATCAAGATGGTGATGCTCAGAAGAAATGGTAAAAATGCGCACTTACCAGATGCGCATAGGATATGCGCATTGATATATCCTCCTCTGGGTGAGGTATGATGGGTAAGGGTCCTCCTTCAAGGTATGGGCAGCACAGCGATATATGGGTGAAGACAGTAAAAAAGTTGTTTGCAGTCTCTCTATATTTTGATACCGGAGATATTGATTAGGCCAAAAAGGGCCCACTCAGCGGTTAAGGATAGGTCTTTTACCAAGTTTGTATTAGCTTAGCGCACTACTGAGTGCCAAAAACGTTGGATCTTGGGACACGTCCAAATACCATGGGACAAGTCCACATCTAAATGGCCACATTTAGGGCAGCAAGAGGAGGAGCTTAGGCCCATAAGATAGGAGTGATGTGGAGATACAGTATATAAGAATGGTGGAAAGGCAAAGCACAAATTTCATTTTAATGCTGACCTCCAGCCTTCCCTTTAGTCTTACACAGTTGTACCAGCTCCTCTCCTGCACTGAAATTGTTTACTTTGATTTCACTGCACACTGTAAGCTTCTCACACTGTGCATTAAAAGCAGCAGATAAAGCCTGTCTTATTTCCTGGCTGGAGGATCCAGCATCACCCAGTTTTTTCCTCCCTAGGTTGATAGTTCCTGGGCTACCCCTTTAGAGCCCATTCAAAGTCGCATGACAAATCACTCCTTATTTTCCAATGGGTACCATTTATATCTGTGGGACTTTAAGTTGCAGCAACTTCAAATTTCCTGCACTACTTTGGTCCAACTTTCACTTGAGGGCCATAGACTTCGATGTAAACCCTCAAAGTCGCATGAAAGTAGCACCTGAATGTTGTACATGCAACTTGTGTGAAACTTTTTACAGCAGAAACAATTATCCTTCATCAATGCCAAAGTCGCATTCAGCCAAAGTCGCGTCAAGCCACACTGTAAAGTCGAATAAAAACTGCAGGATTTTGAAGTCGCACAAGTGTGAATGGACCCTTATTCATTGGATTTCAGGTCTTTCAATTTTGGAGGCTCAGCATCACTATGTGTACATTGCATAGGGTGGTCTGCATGCACATTATTAATATTATTATAAAGGATTTTATATAGCGTCAACAGTTTGTGCAGCTCTTTATAAAATGAAGGGAGACAGTACATTTACAATTCAATTCAATACATACAGAAACAGAGGACCCGGCTCATTAGAGCTTATAATCTAAGAGGAAGGGTCAAGTGGTACAAAAGGTAATAATTGTGGGGGATGAGCTGATGGAGAAAGTAAAGCGATAGCCTTTTCTAAAGAGATGGTCTTTCAGGAATCACCTAAATGTGGATAGAGTAGGAGATAGTCGAACAGATTGGGGTAAGGTACTCCAGAGGGTAGGAGAGGCTCTTGAGAAGTCCTGGAGGTGAGAATGGGAGGAAGTGACAAGGGAGCTACTGAAGAGAGCAGGAGATCCTGGGATGCAGGATGAGAACGATTTTATTGGTATTGATTAGGCGATAGGGAGCAAAGTTGTGGATGGCTTCGTAAGCTGTTAGTATTTTGAATGTTATTCGTTGGTGAGCAGAAACCAGTGGAGGGATTGGAAGAGAGGAGTAGCAGATACTGAACGATTGGTAAGGTGGATGAGTCTGGCACCAGTATTCATGATAGACTGAAGAGGGGAGATAGCCTATGTAAAGGTAAGCCGATGAGAAGGAAGTGAATTGGAAGCTTTTTGGTGTTGTTGGATAAGATGGGGCATATTTTGGAGATGATACGGAAGTTGAGGCGCCATGATTTGGACACTGATTGGATATGGGACCGCAAGGAGAATTTAGAGTCCACAGTTACACCTAGCACCCTGGCGTGTGGAGACGGACTGATAGTTGTGCCATCAATCTCGACGGAGAAGTCAGGGAAAGGGGCACGTGGGGGAGGAAATATTATGAGCTCAGTTTTGGATAAACTGCGTTTGAGGAAGTGGTGCAAAATCCATACTGATATGTACAGTCTGCCTAGGAATGCCCACTCCTCCAAACTAACCTCCACCCATAAAGGCATTTTGATCTTTGCATAAATCCTACTGAGAGCCAGCCCACTGCTTAAGGGCTTTTGAGAAGAGTACTAAGACAGGGTGCTGCAGTGTTTTTCGGAAGCTACTGTATGTACAGGTCTCTGTTGGTCCCTCCATCCACCCATGATCTACCTGCATTACATAAAGAGGCACAGAGACCCAGTATGTCACTGGGTCTAAAGCTAGGTATTTAAAGCAGGTATAAACACAGCAGGCATGATGACTGGGGACGGTCCCTTTGAACTAGTCTGTAGGGTAATAAAGGGGTTAAGTGATGGCAGAAGGATAGGATGGTGAAGGGGCGTGATTTGGATTGTGGTGGCAGTTTATTGGTAGGAGGAAGAAAAAGGAGGAGACTCCTGCATCACGTTAAGTCCTCTGACATACTGGTCACTCAGTTGGTGCCCTTCCATGAACAAGGACATCCCCACCCTCCCTCCCCAAGTTGTTAGTGGGTTTTGTTATAGCATTGCTTATGACATTTATAACAAAATAAAAAATATATATAATTGGGGCAAAAAAAAAAAAAAAGGACGTTCAGTTTTTTCTTGCAGGACATTGAATAAATAAATACAAAGTAATTAATTCAGTGACACCTTATTATTGGTTCCATTCCTGTATATTTGTTGTCACACTGTATTTTTTGTCACAGCTGGCATTTATCCCTTTTGCGGGCTGAGGTGGCAGGTGGTTGGTAGAGGCGGTGGAATTGCTAGCAGGAGGCCCAAGTAAGCCCTTGAGCCTAACATGGGCGGCTGGGGGCTGAATCGGCTCCTGCTAAGGAAGAAAAGTGGAGATACGCCACTCAGCACTGATAAAAAGGGATTTGGTGTTAGATATGTTTTATTGGTTGATTGTTCGTTATTCATACATATCAAGCTGTGGCCAATACTTAAATAATAAAGTATCAACGCAGTTAAAAGTATCTTTGTTGACAGTGTGGTTATTCTATTCAATCTCAGGGAGAAGTGAACAGTGTACCAGTCATGAAAACGGAAAGGTTTCATTAAAAATATATCACTAATGTGTTGATGAGAGAAAAAGAGGAACCTAAGCAAGGCAAAATATAAGCAAATACAACTTCAGCTTTAACTCCTGAATTTGTTCTGGAGTCATAAAAATGTCCCAAAACTTTATAATTAACTAAAGGCGTCCGCAGCTAAAGGGCAGCTAGAGTGAGAAGTTAATTTGCAGTGTTTTTGGACTGATTGATGTCTAAACAGAAACTATATTAGATAAGGTTATAAAATATCCAAACCAAATACAATCTAGGACAGAAAGAACGAGATAAGCCGAGTTGCGGAGGCAATAAATAGACTGAAATAAATGGAAGGGGATAATTTAATTTAAGGAAAGGGAAGCTAATGATTTTACAAGAGAAATTATAAAACTGTCATTCCATTTATCATCCAACTCAATAGAGAGGCAGCCTGGATTAATACGGTTTTACATGAACATTGAGGTGTTCAGGGGAACAGGAAAATGACTGGTTCATCATATAAATGTACAATTTATTTCAGAGTGAAAAATGAATTTAGGAGAACAAACATATGGTACAGGAAAGGTCTGTAAAAAGAAATGTATGATACTTCTCCTTGTAAAATAAAAAACAAGAAAAAGTTATGGCCATAGCCAAGGTTAGGATGTCCTGCGTTCCTTAGCTGTAATGGCTCCCATGAATGGCTCATTATTGGCCAAGGAGGTCTTTTTAGACCTTTTCTTCAATTGGCCTGCCTTTGTACATGAAGCCCCAAGCATTTGCATCTGGATCAGCTGTGCATGGCAGCCAGCTTCTAACTTCAGCTTGTTCAATTAAAGTGTTACTAAACCCTGGACCCTGCATTCACTATATCTGGTCTCCCCGGACCCTGCATTCACTATATGCGGTCTCCCCGGACCCTGCATTCACTATATGCGGTCCCCCCGGACCCTGCATTCACTATATGCGGTCCCCCCGGACCCTGCATTCACTATATGCGGTCCCCCCGGACCCTGCATTCACTATATGCGGTCCCCCCGGACCCTGCATTCACTAAATGCGGTCCCCCCCGGACCCTGCATTCACTATATGCGGTCCCCCCGGACCCTGCATTCACTATATGCGGTCCCCCCGGACCCTGCATTCACTATATGCGGTCCCCCCGGACCCTGCATTCACTATATGCGGTCCCCCCGGACCCTGCATTCACTATATGCGGTCTCCCCGGACCCTGCATTCACTATATGTGGTCTCCCCGGACCCTGCATTCACTATATCTGGTCTCCCCGGACCCTGCATTCACTATATCTGGTCTCCCACAATACACACAACATGGAAATGCAATTATTTTAGTAAATATAAACTGTTAAATATATTTTCTCATCAACAGTTAGAGCACTCTTGTGACTTCTATCAGTGTCCAGTGTGAGCACTGGTTAAAGCTTGTAGGAGGAGTTTTCATTTTGCTCTAGGAGAATGCAGAACCCCTGACCTCTGTCTGGACAGTGCTGATTGGCTCTGTGCTGATCACATGCACTCTCCCAAGAAAAAAAAAATACCTCTCTAGCAATACACACCAAACAGAGCATGTGCAGAGTGACTTCACAAGATTAACCCCTTAGGTTCCACAGTGAGATTAACAAGCATGCTTTACTGAATATACAGACCGATTTTACTGTTGTGGGTTTAGTAACACTTTAAGCTTTTGCAATAAAACCTGGAAGCTATACGGTGTTGCACCAGATATTGCACTCTCCTGCCTACCATCCACGCTAAACAGCGTGGATGGCAGGCATGTGCACGCTGGAAATTTTTGTTTTGTTTCATTTTGGATGCTTTCATTCATTGAAGAATTTCATTTGTTATGTTGAACCAATTTGTTTTTGGAATTTGTTTTGTTTCTTCAGCATTCATTTCATATGTTCGTGGGTCTGGGGTGGATTACAAAAATTTGCAATTTTTCGGATGATTGCTATATATTAGTTTTCGGTTTCAATATTTTAGGTGGATTCTATATTCATATATTGAAACTATTTGATATTTTCAAACAGATAAAATATAACGCAAAATTTGGCACCCTTGAATTTTTTAAACCTAAAATTTGCATTAGACTGTGGAACTGAACTGACTGATTGTGACAATTACAAATTCAATTCATATCACACTTACCCAAAAGCACATCTATATCAAACAAATTACATTTTTTTAATTAATTTCCCTGTAGGCTCAAACTACTATTGCATCACGTGATGTCATCCGAATGAAATGAAAACAAATGCATTTGTTCATTTTCTTATAACTTTTTTCGGATTCGTTGACATTCCATTCTGAGATTTGCATACATCCAAATCTCCGAAAATCACATTTTAATCCAAAAATTGATTTGTTACAAAAAACACATATGCACCATTAATTGATCACTTCAAGTTCTGTAAATGGTGGTAGTGCCGAGCAAGCAGCCACCTGTAAATAAATGGAAGAATCTCCCCTGACAGCTACTGGGTGCAGGCTGGCAGAATACCTGATCATTGCATCTGATTGGATGCAGCCGCTATTCGGCCAACATTTTTCTGCCTGGCTCCTTCAATTTTCAGATCATCCTGGACTTGAATGGATTGCCCTATGCACGACAAATATGCCTAAGTAGCCCCCGCACTCTTTTTTGAAGCTGACTTTGGCACATTTTTGAACAGGATGTTTCAGAGTATTTTGTTGCATGACAAAACACCCATTTTTTTAGTGCATTTGTGCCAAAAAGAATGAATGACACCCATGTTTTGCACATTTGAGTGTTTTTTCTGTGTGTGTCTCCACTATGCTCAGGTGTCAAGTTGCATTCACACTTGTGCAAGGTGAAGTGTTCCTTTTTAGCGTTTTTTTTGTCGTGCAACAGCATAGGGCAGCCCAGTTCACTTGAATTGACTGCCCTATGCGTGATAAATGTTCCAAATGAATGTATGTACCTTTTTTGGGTAGTAAGAAAAGCACATTTGACATTCCACATTTGGCCAAGCTTATCGCACGTTTAGTCACGCACCAATATGTAAGACTGCTACCTGTGTTTGGGGTGCCTTTAACCACTTTCCGACCGCACTATAGCCAAAAGATGGCTACAGCATGGTCAGCTAGTGCTGGGAGGGTGTCCATGGACATCCCCCCAGAACCACGCCCCCCCAGTGCACCTCCAGGGGTGCCCACAGGGTGCGGCCTGTGATCACTGTGTCCTTTGGATACAGCTGATCACAGATCGCGGTAAAGGGCCAATCAGAGCTGATCACAGTGTGAAGAGAAAACGTCGGTTATCTGCAATCCTCGCCTTACACTGACAGCACCTGAGGAAAGGAGAGCCAGTAATATACACACAGGACATCTACACTGATATCAGTGCCCCGGTTATCAGTGCAGCCCAATCAGTGCCATCTTTCAGTGCCCATCAGTGATACCTGTCAGTGTCCATCAGTGTTAGCTATCAGTGCAAATCAGAGCTGGCTATCAATGTCCATCAGTGCCTCCACATCTATCCTGTCTATCAGTGCCTACCAGTGCCGTCTAGCAGTACCCATCACTGTCCATGAGTACTGCATATCAGTGCCCATCAGTGCCGCCTATCAGTGCAGCCTCACCATTGCCTATTAGTGAAGGAGAAAAATCACTTTACAAAACTTTATAATAGAAGCTATGGACAGCCTTTTGTTTCTTCAAAAATCTTCTGTCTTTTTTAATTTAACAAAAAATAAAAAAATTTGAACTGAAGTCGGAAAATTGGCCGGTAGGCAACTGGTTAAGAATTAATGGCATTGCATGCATGCTGTGCATTTTGGTGCATTTTTAGCATGTTTCTGGAAATGCAGGTAGAAACACGTTTCTACCACAATTCAGGACCCATAGGCGTGAATGCAGCCTTATGTGAAGTCCATCTAGCACTAGGCCATCTAACAATACCTTCTGCACAAGGCGACAATGCCCCTTCCCAAACCTAAGACAGAGGGGTATTGTACTGGCTAGATCACCAGAAAAAAGAGAGAGAAAGCCTCTTCCTTGGGTTAGATACACTTTAACTAAAGAATGGAATTTAAAGCAGAAAATGACCAAGAAAATTTTGGAAAATGTAAAAAACTATGTTAGCAATTGCTGCAGGGAGCGCCATTATTGCTGTTAATTGATGCCAGACTGTTGTTACATACTGTCACCAGTGCAGTACAGCGTCATCATATAACTGATGTGCTAATTTTTTTCGATTTTTTTTTTCATATTACACTATGACCAAAGTAGTGTAATGTTACCATAGTAACATTGTACTACTTTGGGGAAGTGATCAGTATTTATTTATTTTTTTACACAATTTGATTGCTTATAGCAAAGAATTTATTTGCTATAAGCAAGCATTTAACTGAATGAAATCGATTCATTCAGGTTTTTTTTTTGTTGTGATTAGCTGTAATTGGCCATGGCTAATCACATGACACAGATGTGCTGTGACTGGCCCAGACTGTGCATGTGATCACTGTGACCACTCACAGCTAGACACACTTGTATACAATGGATGGCTTGAAAGGAAGCCATCCATTGTATACAACTGCCATGTGAAATACTGTGATTGGTCACAGTGGTCACATGGTACTGGCAACAGTGCCGGTACACAGATCTGTCATTGTCCGTGTCCGAGGTACACAGCCAGTGACAGATCTTGCCACAGCATGGCCCTGCAGGCACTCGTAAGACACGATTCGGGAAGGACATCATATGACACCTTACCGGAGGGAGAAGAGACTGTCATTTTACTATAGGCCGGGAGGGAAGTAGTTAATATGTGCCACACCAAACCACATTACTGCGGTACAATGTGTTTTGGTGGCCGCAACATGTGTTCTTGCAAGATGTGTTTGCAGTCCCAAAAGGGCTAGCGTGTTCTCGTGTTGTATGGGGAAAAAAGCATGTGTTTCCCAAACACCAAATTTAATGTGAACAGGGAATCACAGACATTTTGTACAGCCTTTATTTCTAAATTCACAATCCATTTAGACATCATATACAATGGACATCACACTTTAGGCCAAAAACATATTATTTGGAGAGAATAGAGAAGAATAGGAGCTGCTATCAACTGTCTGTGATGTCTATTTGACAGGTATCAGACAAAAGTAGTCATGAGAAGACAGCAATAATAAAAAAAAAATAAAATCTTTAATAGGTTGAGATTTAAAAGCTCTGGTGGGAGCTCATTTCTGTTTGTGTGAAAATTTCCCTCACTTCCTGTCCAGGTCAAAAAAAGAAGAATAGTCTCCTCTAACAAAGACAACATTTTAAACCATTAAGCCTGTTGTTCCCAAACTGGAGCCAAGGTGATTACTAAAAACAGCTAACCCAAGCTAGAGTTCCTGGGGTAATAACACCTGATGAAGTCACGAGTTACGCAACGCAACGCGTCGGTACGCCATTCCGGGACGAGGTAACGCACTTCCAGACGCAGCGGCCATCTTGCTCTACCCAGTTACCATGCAGTACACCCATAGGATGTGGTGACAGGCGTTTTTTGCTGGAAGTACATGTGAGTGCAATAGTAGTTTTGTTTACTTTCCAATAAAAAGATTACTGCACCATGGAAGGATCTTTGTTTTGTATCTTATGTATATGGCCTTGAGTGGAGGTGGAGTGGATAAGGTGCACTTGAGAAGTCTATATTCCATTCCATGGTCCCTTTTGATGAGGAGTGCAATTGAGAGGATCTGGTATTGTGAATCATAGCCTTTTGGCCCTGTGTGGGTCAGGGTGTGGAGGTGAGCAGGTATTGCTGCCATTAGAGGATCCCTTTTCTCTCTCACCAGAGTGAAGATCACGTTGGCACAGTTTCACTTGCATGGACTTTATGCTTTGAAATTTCACAGATGTTCTTTGTTCTATTTTTCATTTAATGTTCATATATTATGTGTTTATATCATATATTGGCAAATTAGCATGTGATGCTATCCTCCCCTTTTTAAGAATCACTATCACAATTTTTATTGGTTGTTCACTATATTTCAATGGTTTGTTCACTTTGAATTGTTCAATATATATTAATTGCAATTTTGGATTTTCCACTGAGCACTATTGTGTTGGCACAGTTTGCAATAACACAGCACGATAGTATTGCACAAGTGTTAGATTTATATAGCGCTTCACTATTTATACATATTTTGTGCGTCTTACA